CCCCCCCCCCCCCCCCCAATATATCTACTTGTACATGTCTTTGTTTTTGTTTCACGAGTGCACTTGTGCACAGTTTCTGAGAGAGGAGCACTTGATGTAAGGTGAGAGGGTCTTGCTAGAGGACTGACCTCATCAGAACTGTCCAGACAGTTGTCATGTCCATCACACCTCAGGCTGGCAGACACACATCCTCCACTGGCACACACATACTCACTTAGAGAACAGGAGGGAAGCACTGTAAAACAGATGATGGTAAAAATCAGACATACAGATACATACACAACTGATGTGTACATGAAGAGTGAGGTAAGATGTGTCAGTGGGTAAGCTGTGTCACCCACTTAATCTAATACAACTGTGCATAGTTTTTTTCATGTGACCATATTAAGTTATTTTTATGCTGTTGATGCTAAAACCCTGTTTGGCTTTTTTTCATGTCCATGTAAATTTCAATGTAGCAGGCAAAATTATTTTTATGTCAAAACACATTTATCCAGATCTAAATATATGAATCAAACATGATAATGAATTATTTAGGTAAAGGTTAGTCATGAATTATTACATTTTCTGAAAATCGTATCTGTGACGTAAAAGGTACCAGATTATGTGGCAACAAATTGTGAGCTTATACTAAAAACAGAAATACTAATATACAATCTTAAAAACGGTTTTATTAAATTCAGATATTCTACTTAATGTGCAAACAAATACGATTTTGGAATTGGAATGCGACACATCTTCATTTAAAAACCAAAATGCACATAATAAATGATTGAGGCATCTAAATAAGTTCTTAGGTTAAATAAAAAAATAACTAAGGAGTTAACACACTAGAGAGCTGACAAAGGCACTTGTGTTTATTATAACTCTCTAAAAGACAAAATTGAGCTACAGCATTTGAACTTACCAGACAATGTAATCATAAAACATTTAAAGCCGAAATGTTTATTTACTCAGTGTTTACATACCATCTCCCATCCCAGGTTAATGTGCAATGACAACTATAAATCATTTGTAGGTTTCATTAAATGAAAAGTGCAAACATGTATGGCTCTCTACAGCTATGACAAAATGTTTATTTGAGAATCTCAAGCATTGGTATCTTGGCATGAGTTTGGGGTGGGACTATATGTTTGACGGGGAATGTTTAGGGAAATAATTGGAAAGTGGTGAATGTTTAGTAATGCAGAAATGATACACCTCAGCTTTAAAGACCACAAGATAGAATAAAGTTACCTGTTCCGAGGCAATTTCTCTCATCTTCCCCTGTCTTACAGTCTTCCTGGCCATCGCACAACCATTTACGTGAGATGCAGAGATTGTTGTGGCATTGAAACTGATCCTCTTCACAGTGTGTCTCGCAATCCTTCTGAAAATTCACAAAGCAAGGGGGAGTTTACTTCGGTTTTGGAAATCAAATTTAAAAAAATATCTACTGTCTTCATGACCTGCAGATGAAGCCATAAGAGTATGAGGACTGATGTTGTATGAAAACCGAGATTAAACAGCTTTGAGATAAATGGCTCGAAGGGAATGTTTTGGAATATAAGACAGCTGCTGTGTTGTCCCCAAATGGCATCTAGCATTCACTGACCTCATCTGAATTATCAGCGCAGTCATAGTCACCATCGCAACGGAAGCGTGCTGAGATACAGTCCCCACTGGCGCAGGCAAAATCCTTATGATTACAGGTCACCGGCTCTGCAGAGAGGAGAGCAGAATAAGACAGCTGAAGCAGCACAGCTACCCTGACCGTGCCCTGTGAAGCTGCCCACATTGAAAACACTAAAGTAAACCTTCGCAGAGGCAGCAAGAGCAAATCAAAAGTGCTAAAGTGGCCTCGCACTTGGACGTGAATCGGCATTGTACCATCTGTTACCAAGGTTCTTGAAAGTTTGCCAAGAACTTAAAAGGAGCTATTTGCAGACTAATCAGCAATTAGAACGTCTAAAAGGGCTGTTCTCGAAGATGGCTAATGGCTAGAAAAACATGGGTGGTTAGAAAAGCCTGTTAATATAAACTGTTTGAAATTGGTTGATTTCATAACATAATTTACGAAAAAGGACCATTAAAGCAAAGACATCCTGGACATTATAACTGCTCATTATTTACTCAGACTCTTGTCATTTCAAACCCATATGCTTGTATTTTTTAACAATTAAGAAAAAACTAATGTGCTTATAGTTTTATTCAAAAGTTTGCAGTTTGGATTTTTTTATATTTCTAAAAGAAGTCTCTTATGCTCACCAAAATATTTATTTGATAAAATATACAGTAAAAACAGCAACATCATGGAGTATTATTACAATTTAAAATAGTTATTTTTTAAATTATTAATAAAATATTTTTTTATTTGGGTTATGTCAAGGCTGAATTTTCAGTAGTCATTACTCCAGTCTTCAGTGTCACAAGATCCTTCAGAAATCATTAAAATATGCTGATTTAGTGCTAAAAATTATTTCTTCTTATTAATAATGTTGAAAACTGTTGTCTTGCTTAATATTGTTGCAACTGGAAACTGGAGGAGATCTGCAGGATGTGAATGCTATTTTATGTTTTTTTTTCTTCCAAAATTAAATGACTTTTATATTTTTTATTATTTGGCAAAACACCATTGTATTTTATAATAGTATTAATTTATATAAATTTATTTAATTTATTTTAAAAAAATCAATAGAACAACAAATAGGATAATACAAAACATATTTATACTTTTTTTGTTAATTAAAATAACAAACTAATTAAATTGTAAACTTTTTGTCAATAAAAAAAGCCAATTAAAAATTTAATTTTAAAGAGTATTTACATATCATAGATCTCCTCCAGTTTCTAGTTATCGTGGGCTGTCAAGTCGTATAAAATAGTTTTTTCCCCTGTTCTTGATTTTTGTCCTTTTTAAAGCTTGACAGCCCATGATAACCACAAACAGTCATATGGAAAGAACATATGGCTTTGGAATTTAAATAAAAAATGACATTGCATAAAACACAAGTAAATAGTTGATCTTTCTTTATGGCACTGTGGGCAAGATCAGAAGCGACCAGACAAGTGGTAAACAAACAGACAAAAATAAATCTTCAAATAGTCTGCGAAACTGGCCTCTGAAGATCCCACACAACGTTTCTTGACAGTGAAAACAATTTAGTACAAACACAAGTGTGGAAAAGGCTTTATTGTGCTCCGAGAGATGAGAGCGACTCACTGCAATGCTCCTCATCGGAGTTGTCTCCGCAGTCATTCTGGCTGTCACATCTCCAGTGGTCCGGGATGCAGTTGTTATTCTCACAGCGAAATTCATGAGGTCCACAGGTCTTTTCATCTTTTTCATCAGACACAAACAAACACACAGATGAAAATGGCTTCAAAAGTGCATGAAAATTAATGCAGTGCTACTGTATTTCGACACGTAATCATCATTTCCTCAGGGTTCTGGGCCCGGATCTGACACCAAGTTCAAAACATGCCCACACTCAAGAGGCTAACGTACCATAAGATGAGATACCTAACTGTGCTGCCGATAGCTTCCATCCTCAATAACCTGAACACTTGACACGTAACATCAAACACTTTGTCACCTGGGCACAATCGTTTACGTCGTCTGAAGGAGCTCATTCTACCTTTCTCCAGAGTGCATGTGCTGTTTATGTTATATAACCTAAGAACCTTCTGAGGTGCTAGAGCCAAGATGAATTGTTAATGAACAGACAAGAGGACCACATCATCAGATCAAAACTTTGGTTACAGTAGATCAGTAGATCCCCCTCCCCAAGAAAACAGGCTAAGAGAAGCAAACAGCAAATACTTGCCAGTTTTCATTAGTGTGAAATAATAAAAGAGCATCCTAGAATATCTCCCTTGATAGATTCTTCTGTATAAATATTCTCTAATGTGGCGCAGGCATGTAATAATGATAGAAAGCATCTAAAGGAACATCTAGAGATACTGGCATCTGAGAAAAAAATATACTGAGAATGTGTGAGATGTTTCTTAGTTACAATGATAAAAATTTACTTTCAAACACTAATGAATGTCACAAAATAGAAGCCACTGCACACTAATGAATGTTACAACATACAGTAGAAGCCACTGCAAAAGATACAGTCTTCTGAGATAAAACAATGCATATTCCCGTGAAGATAGATCTTAAATGCGCATGAATTTCCACTTATTTCTGTGTGATTGTAATCCCCTATATTATCAAAAATGTAAGTATCAATAAAGCTCGTCTGTTATGTTAATTGCACCATTTGACATCAATTGCCAAGATATGGATCTATAATTACTTGCAGGCTGATGTAGATAAAGTGTGTCACATCTGGACAAATCAATGGAGACATCAGAGGAGCCCGTCACACCTCAATTACAAAAAAGTGACCCTTCTACTGTTCCACTGATGTGTCACTCATTTGGGAGATTACAGATAGTTACAGAGAGTTACAGATAATCCATAACAACCTCAGATATGTTCAGCCATTGCAGTCAAACCAATTTTCTCAATTAAATTCTGACAATGTGATTTTTCCCCCTGCAACAGCTAAGCTATTGATTTCATTTCTTTTGTCGACCGATATGGGAAAGCCATGCTCATCATCCCTGCTGGGATGTGTCACAGTTATATATACACCATATATTGAGGATGATTACCTTTAAGACATCCAGTTAGAGGCTGTGCCACACTGCAAATAAATAATGATTTTCTACAATGATGTGAGAGTAAAAAAAACAACAACATCAGCGTGCAGTATAGATCTTTAATAAGTCTAATGTTTGAGAGTTAGACCTTCTTTGTCAAATGAATCTTCTGATGAATCATTAATGAGGTTCAAAAGACTATGGCTCTGATCCAAAACCTAGTGAGCTGCTCACAAACAGTAGGCAGCCTATTGAAGGCATGTTCCAAAAGGCACTTTTATCTTTACCCTTTTACAAAACTTATTTTAGGCTTGTGAAAGTGTAACATACATACTGTATGTTTAACCAAATTAATTTTATGCACACATCAATACATTTGATAACGCTATTATTCCCTTCTGCTTTCTGAAGACTGGTCAGAAATAATGAGATTAATTGCAACTAATTTATTATACTGAGGTAAACTTTTATTTTTAAAAATTTTAATAATTATGTGTATTAATTTTATTGAAGACTTCATTACTGTTTAAAAGTTTGGAGTCAGTAAGATTTCTTTTAAAGGATGTAATAATTTTATTTACATTATATTAAATTAAATACATTACATTAAATACATTAAATTGATTAAAAATGACAGTAAAGACTGTTTCAAATATGGTTTTGAATATTGTTTCAAATATTTCAAATAAATGCGGTTATTTTGAACTTTATATGCATCAAAGAATCCTGAAAATGTATCACTGTTTCTGCAAAAATATGAAGCAGAGCATTATTGATAATAAAGCATATTAGAATGATTTCTGAAGAACCACTGAAGACTGGAGGACTGGCTGCTGAAAATTCAGCTTTGTCATCACAGGAATAAATTACATTTTAAAATTGTAATAATATCACAGTTTTTACGATATTTTGGATCAAATAAATGTAGACTTCTTTCAAAATGTCAACAAATCTTACCAACCCCAAACTTTTGAACTTTTGTATTTTTTAAAAGTAAGAAAATTGCGTATTTAGCTTAGCTACGTGCTAAAGGAAAACTCGATTGAAATAACCTGCGAGTGAAGTCTCCCACATGCTTTGTGTGATGAACGTTATTTATATGCTGCCTGGAGTTGCTGCCTAAGAGTGTTCCAAATCTGTCATTTACGAGGTTACAATTCAATTAGGATTCTGTCATAGAAGACAGCTGCCTATAGAGACATTCAGGTGAATATTTTCAGTATTGATCAAATGAGTGGTGCAAATAAAATGAGGTACACAGCTTGTTTGTTCAATATAGAATATAGAAAAATACTTGAAACTAAATATGTCTAGCAAACCCTCAGAAATTGTTTTGCCAGTGTATTGGCACTTTAAATGTCTGGAACACATAGCCGAGGAAGAATGCAATATCTGAGGCCACCGCTGATGTGCCACTGTCAAACTAAATCAGGCATTCAGGCAACAAAACAGGCCCAAGGGAATTGTTACAAGCCGAGTGGTTCATGATTAAAGCTGGCCTCACTCCATCAGAGAGAGAGAAGACTGTGGGAGCATACAGAATTGACATTAGCCCCAATCAGACTTTCAGACGGGTCTGCGCGTGTGGCTGACTGAGGCTCTGATTTGTGAGTAATAACTGCAGCTCACTCACCACAATTGGCCTCATCAGAGCCGTCCGCACAGTCTGGGTCTTCGTCACACACCCAGAGCTTTGAGATGCAATGCATGGTGGCCTTGCACTGGAACTGGTCTGGAGAACATGTGCTCTCAGCTGGAACATTAAGGCAGACAGAAAATAGCAGGTTATTTACAAGGCCAGTGAAAAGCTATTGTAAGAATTTGAAAAAAAATTAAATAAATAAAAACCTTCCAAAACTTCCAGTACTACATATGACTGTGATTCAATAAAGTAAGAATATATGTGGCATCTTCACTTTCTTTACATTATGATAAGGTCTTCTGCAATTTACCACCCAAGAAATTAGGAAATGACAGCCTAGAAATGTTAGTCAAGGCTGGTTGTAAGAAGGTCAAATGGGAAGTGTTATATGGCATTTCTTCAGCTACAAGCAATTTTATTTTGCAGAGGTTATTTTTATTTTTTAGTATGACTAAAATATCTCAATTTATTTTATTTGTTGTATGAAGGTCTGTATTGAAATGCCTAAATCATATACAGTTTGCCAGTTTTAAAATGTCTTTTATGCATAGACTTTACCGTTTTACTGTCTCATGCCAGGACTTCAATAAAAACACTCAACAATATTAATATATTAAAAAAAAAATTATAATAATTTTTTTAAACTGCTACAATTTTATAACTATAATATAATATTATAATATATTATATAACTATAATCTTACAAACACCAAAGCAAATGTAAACCATTTCAATATTTACTGCATACAATTGACCTCAGTTTCCTCATTTGTGACCTTGATCAACAATTTCTCAACAATTTCAAATTAGTGTTTTAGGTTATCAGGCTGGCAAAATGATCACAGTGAAGTTATGCACACTTAAAATATGAAGGTAACTCAATCTCAAATCTCAAGGTAACTCAAGGTAAAGGAAAAACATATATATTTTTTAAAATCAGAGATAAATATGTTTATGTTAGGCACATATATTAAAATTAATCTTAGCAAGACAAAATGTCTGCACTGTAAAAAAGAAGTGTAATTTTAACTGTAAAATTTTGTAAAAACGCTACGGAAAAAAAACTGTTAATAGGTTAACAGTAAGTTCCCGTACTAAATACAGGGAAAAACTGTAAAATATCTAACCAGACATTTCAAGTAATTTTACAGTAAAATGCTGTTAATTTTACAGTTTTTAGAAGTAAAAATAACAAATCAATGTATAATTTACAGTCAAAAACTGTAAACTGATATTCCCAGAATTCCCTGCATGACACTCCACATTTGAAAGTATTTTGTTTAAATAATCATGTTTTTTTTTAAAGTTTTTGTTATTAGTTATGTATATTTGGGCTTTATGTTACATCATCTGTTGTTTAATGAAAGTTTAATGCATTATTTAAGTATCATGTGTGTTACCATGATGGTGTTTTGTGTTTGCATGAATGACTCTGTGCACCTTCTATATATTAGTATATACTTCTGCTTGTGGCGAAGCTACTTGTGATGAGCTTTGATTCTTCATGTGGCTTTCTCTTTTACCAACTGCATATGGTGGTTGTCAGTATGTTAAAGGTACAAAACATATTTTAATAGCAGTGTGCATTGTTGAATTTACTGGTTTACATTTAAATTTTCTTGTTTGTAAATTACAGTTTTATACTGTAAAATTTACAGTTTTTGACCGTAAATGTGTTTACAGTTTTTCTGTATTTTTTACAAAATTATTCTGGCAACCACAGCTGCCAAAATTATTTTGTAAAAACTACAGATTTTTTTTTACAGTGTGCCATTTTAAACTTTAGTTCCACCACAGTCATTTCCAAATGAAATGTGGTGGAAATGTCCATGACGCTTCAGGGAGGAAAAAAAAAGACAAAATGACAGAATTCTGACAGAATGTTCACTTTTTGGCAAAATTTAGTTTGAGTTTAAAAAGTATTTACACATTTCCACTCCAGGTGACTTTATTTTTCGCTGACAAGTATTGCTACCTTTCCCAGGAAAGGGCCTTTTCTTTTAGAATACCTAATAAGCACCTGGCTATCCTTTTAGCTCCAAAACCAGCAGACTCGTTTAGTGGGATGAAAGCCACATTTGAGATCTGTCAGTCTGGATCATTAAATTCAAAGGGGAAAAGTCAAATTTGGCAGAGTTCGAACAATTCTGTCACAACACCCTTTAGTTTACGAGAATGAGGCCCATTATTGTCGGTGGTTAATGGAGGGAGCAGAAAGTGTCATGGCGTAGCTTACGGCAGTCTGTCTCGTCCTCGCCATCCCCGCAGTCGTCCTGGCCGTTGCAGCGAAGATTTAATGGTATACACTTCTGCTTTCGGGTGCACTTGAGCTGGCCTGACAGACAGATGTATGTATCTGCAAATGCAGGGAGACATTACAAAAAAAACATCATGCTGGATCAATGCAGTATGATCATCCATATTCCATTTCAGAGGGATCATTCAGAGTCGGGATGCAATAAGAATAAAACTGAGATGATTGCAGAAACAATATTTGTGTTAAAAATCACTAAACGTCTTGAATCTTAAATCGGTGTGTAGCGGATCAGCTCATGGGGAAATATGAATAATTAACCA